CCATGATCCAGAATTTCTCAGGGACTCTTTTAGGCCACCTTTTCACAGCCATTTTCAATCCCTATTTTTGATTAATAGAAACATCTCACCCAACCTCATTTAGTGTGACTTAAAATCTCAAAACTTTTTTCATTTTCTAAATACACAGTTATATCAGCCTTCAACACCATAGCCCAAGTCATCCGGGCTCAGAAAGCTCTCAAAGAACCAGTCTAGCAATCACAGAGTCATTTGAAAACACTCCGATTATGTTTCTCAAACACTAGGAGTGGTAAATAAATATTTTTACTGAAATCCATTACTGTGAGCAATTTTACCCTATAGTGAGAGCAGTCAATGTCGCCCCCCTCCTCCACAGGAAGCCTGCTGGACTTCCTGAAAAGTGACGAAGGCAGCAAGCAGCCACTGCCCAAGCTCATTGACTTCTCGGCGCAGGTGAGAGGCTAATGGGGAAGCTGGGGGGGGGAGACAGGAATGCAGTGACTTATTCAGCACCTGTTTATTGACCACATGCTATAATAACAGCAACAATACTGGCTAACATTTACTCTGTATAAAAGTATACTTTTAAAACGGGTGGGGAATGTCCGGCCCGTGGGCCGAAATCATTCGGTCTGGCCCTGCCAAGGCAACTGCAGGCGGGACTTGAAATTCAATACATCTAGGAGCTTTTTTCATAGCTAATTTTTAAGTTGGTCATTTTGTATGGCCTGTGAATGATGTTATAAATATCCAAATGGCCCTTGGCAGAAACAAGTTTTCCCACCCGTTTTAAAATGTAACTTACATGTACTAACTCAGTCCTCACATCACCCGTCTAGGGTGGGATTTTGTTATCTAGTCTTTTTAAAAAATGTGTTTTCATTGATTTTAGAGAGAGAGGAAGGGAGAGGGAGAGAGAAACATCGATGTGAGAGAGAAATATCAATAGGCTGCCTCCTGCACGAACCCCTGACCGGGCATCCAGCCCACATGCTGGGCACGTGCCCTGACTGGGAATCAAACTGGTGACCTTCCGGTGCAAGAAACGATGCTCAACCAACTGAGCCACCCTGGCCAGGGCAGTTATCTATTCTAATGTAACAAGCCACTCCAAAGCTTAGGAGATTGAAACAATAATTAGTTATTTCTCGTGGTTCTGTGGGTTGACTGGAGTTGGCTGTGCTGCTTCTGCTCCACATGTTGAAACTGAGGCCACTCACACGGCTGCATTCTGCTGGCAGCTTGCCGAGGGCTAGAAGGCCCCCGATGGTGTCTCATCCTCTGGGGTCTTTCTCCATGTGGAACCTCATCGCTTAGTAGTCCAGCCAGAGTTTATGGCTTGGCGGCAAGGTCCCAAGAGGGAGCACACGAAGGGGCCCAGCCCTAATGTGCAAATGTTGATGAAGCTTCTGCCTGCATCATGCTTGCTCATGTCCCATTGGCTAAAGCATGTCACAGGGTACAGCCCAGAGCCAGTGTGGAAGGGGACTGGCCACGGGCTTGAGTCCAGGAGGCATGGTCCATTGGGAGTCACCAATGTAACAGTTTGGCCACAGGATAGTAATTGCCATCCCAGTTTACGTAATAGAAACTTGAGCATAGAGAAGATGAGTACAGATGAGGAAACCGAGGCCCAGTGGGGTTAAATAGCTTCCCTAAGCTACTGTGTTCATTTTGAGGGATACGGCAGTGAACAAAATGGAAAGAATTGCTGTCCTCACAGAGTGTGAACAGTCCAGATGGGAAGATAGATATTAAATAACTGAATCTCTTCAAGAGCTATGACCCAAGAGGCCTGGCTCAGTGTCAAAAGAATGCAGTATCCAGCAAAATAATATTGTACACAAGTCACAGAAACACCTCTTAAAACCCCCTTTTCTTTTTCATCTTCCTTTCCCTCTCTGTGGCTCCTCTCACCCTCACTCTGAATGCTTTTTATTTCTCTCCTATTTGTGGAAAAATAGGTAGGAAAGGGGTGCTATGGGATTACATGGCTGGAGCATGTAGCCTGGTCCAGGAGCAACCCAAGAAGACTCCCCAGAAGAAGTGGCCTATAGGTTGAGCCCTTAAGAATGAGTAGAGTGAGTCTGATGAAAATGAGAGGAAGGGGAGTTCTAGACAAAGGAAAGAGCCTGTGCCAAACCTCAAAGGGAAAAAACGGAAGAACCACCTGGTCAGCCGGTGCCTGGGGCTGGTAAAGATGAAGGGATTGTGGTTTGCAGCCTGGAGGGAATTAAGGGAGACCTGCACCAGCACCTAGAGCTGGGCCTTCTGAAGATGCCTAAAGTAGAGCCCATTTGAGTAGGCAAATCCTGGGGTGGGGGTGGGGGGGTGGAGATCAGAGGTATAAAAAAAGGTCTTGCATTTTAGAGCCTGGAATGCCAAAGACATATGGAAATCAAGGCCTGGAATTTTTACTTTAATGGGCCCTAGAGAAACAATAGTCTAGTGTGTTGCTAAATTATAACAGTCAAGCTGGCAGAAACCTTGCTGGGCAGAGTCATTGACTGGGGCAAGAGCCACTCTCCTCATTTCATAGATGGGAAAACAAACCAAGAGAGAAAAAGAGGTGCCAGGTCCTTGTGCATCCAGGAGTCCAAGGAACAAGATGGGCCCGGGGACAAGAAGGACCCAACCTGGCCTTTACCTCCAGTCCTAGAGGCAGATTGGCACAGTGCTGGGTACCCCAGACCTGTTACCACCTGGCTGATGGCCTCGGATCCACTCTGGGTCTCAGTCTCTCCATTTGTCAAATGAGGGAATTGGACCACATCTGTGGTTTTCAAGTTCAGAAGCTTTTTTTTCTTTTTTCTTTTTAGGCACAACTCTGTTGGTCAATGAAATTGTATACAGTAGCTGATATTATAAAATAGGTCAAAACAGAGGCCCTCTGATTGAAAGGAGAGGCCTCATAGGTCGCCTTTCTTTTTTCCCATCCCCCAACCCCCAACCCTGGCTGCCTTGAGGTATCAGTAGGATTCAGTTTGAAGAGCTAGAATATTCCTACAGGCCCTTCCAGCTCTGATTCTGTGATTCCCTGATACTCTTGGAAGAAACCCAAGTTCCCATGCCTGACATCATGGCAGCCCATTTGGTGGTCATGAAATCTCACCACCTGATCAACCTCCAATTCTTAGACCAACCCTGAGCCCAGTTAATTCATTCAGTTTACAAAATCTTGAGAAGCAACTCTCTGTATTGGGCTTAGGAGTTGCACAGATTTTTGGTTTTGATCCCAGCTCTGCCTGTGTAGCTCTGAGCAAGTTGCTTAACCTCTCTGAGAGCCACTTTCCTCAACAGGGCGCATTAAGTGCCACCACTGAAGAGAATACTTACATGTTAGACACCATTCTTCGTTCTCGAAGTAGGCTTACAGGGTTAATCCTCACAGAACCCCTCAGGAGCAGTTTCTAATGTCCCCATTTTACAGAGAAGGAACAGGAAGCGTAAGAGGTTGGAGCAGCTTGGTTGAGATCACAGAGCTGTGGGGCTCGAGCTGCGCTGGTCCAACTCCAGAGGCCCTTAGGCATTAGCCCCCTCTGTTCTGCGTGGGGTTAGTCCCCCTACCCCACTGAGCTCGTGCGAAAATCAACAACGTGAGTGTCGGCCAGTGGGTACTAAAAATGGCAACTACCAGCATTATGCCTGCTCTGTGCCAAATAGATGGTCCAAAATTCAGGTGGAGTAATGGGTACGTGCATGGACCACGAACACGGCTGTTGGGGTTCCTGTCCTGGTTCTCGCTTGGACCAGTTACTTATGTCTCTGGCCTTCAGCTTTCTCATCTGTGAAACAGGGCTGATAGCAATAGTACCTCCCCCAAAGCAGAGAGTAAATACTATTTGTTAAATATCATCTTATAATACATGAGTAAGTTACAATGTCTGCCATTAAGGTAACAACTGTCCAACTGTGCCTCTAAGGACTCCTTATACATTTCCCACACACCCCGGCCAAGACTTGTCTTACTCAACCCCTGACGGGCTACCCCAAACAAAATTTAAAAGTCTCAAGTTTTTGCTGGGAAGTCTGCAGCCTCACACCTCAGTTTCAATAGTCATGGGTGCCCCCTCCTGTCCACCTCCTGTAAGTGCACCACCCTCTTTTCCTCCAACCTTGAGCAGGCTTGTGCCTTGGTTTGGACTGTTTGGCCGGGCCCTCTAACCCTCCAAATATCTCACGGATTTCACGGAGCTGCAGTCCTCCAGAGCACTGGGACTCAGCAGTAATTAGAGGCAGCAGGGTGCACTGGGGTTGAACACCCGCAGACTGGTTTGAGTCTGACATTCAGAATTTTCTTGGTGGTATGATCTGGAAAAAGTGTCCCTGCTCTGTAAAACAGATTGTGGGAGCACCTGCCTCAAGGAGCTTGAAGGCCAGTTTGTAAATCATAAGCACCATTTGCTAGGTATCTGAGGGTTAATAATAAACCTCTTTATAAGGGTTAATGCACAAACTCTTCTAAGTAAAAAATGCCTCTAAGGAAAAATCGCCCCCTTTCCATCAGAGGCATCCAGGGCCCCATTGTAAGAATTCTCAGCACAGTCTATTATTCACGCGGCAGCCAGGATGACATTAAAATATGCATCGGACAGCGTCACATTCCTGCTCGAAGCCTTCTGCTGTCCTCACATCATACTTGGAATACAGTCCAACCTCCTCTCCAAGCCCACAAGGTCCTTCACGATCAGCCACTCCCCTCTCAACTCTCCCCACTATCCCGGTGGCAACTTCTGCTCAGCAACCTGTTCCACAAACACCCAAGCTCATTCCTACCTCCGGGCCTTTGCACACGATGGTCTCTCTGCCAGGAACATTCTTATTTGACACACTTATTATCATCACTAAGATCTTTGCATAAATTTCACCTTCTCAAAGCAGCCTTCCCTGGCCCCTCAACCCCAAAAGCCCTTGGATTTCCCCTCCTGTTACCCCTCTTTATCCTTTCTTTATGCTCTTATTACCACCTGCAGGGGCTTTGCCTGCCTCTGCACCTGTTCAAGTAACACATCTGGCACCCACAAGACACTCAGTAGATATTTGTGAATAAATGAATTTTTCCTACTGAGGTTTGGGGATAAAGAAAGTATCAGAATGTGATGTGAGCCTAGGTGGTCCCCAAAAAGAGGGTGGGGATGAAAGCCCTTCCTATTGTCCCTGTGTGGGGACACATAGGTCCTGCGGGATAATGCCATTGCCTTTTCCTCAATGTGTCCTCTGGAAGTCTTGGAGCCCTAGGGAAGCCCCACGCCGACCCAGGCCCTGAGGACCCTCCCAACCTGGATGGTAGACAGAGAAATGCCAGCTGAGCATAGGACTCTCCCACAGAAAGGGGGAGCTGGCACATACGTTGTCCTGTTTCTCACACTCAGACGCTCCTCTTCTGCCTTTGGGTGGGACCCATCTTGGGCTGGGCCAGATCTGAGGGTGTCTCTGTTTTGGGTGGAGATTGCGGAAGGCATGGCCTTCATCGAGCAGAGGAACTACATTCACCGAGACCTCCGGGCCGCCAACATCCTGGTCTCCGCGTCCCTGGTGTGCAAGATTGCCGACTTCGGCCTGGCGAGGATCATCGAGGACAACGAGTACACGGCCCGGGAAGGTAGGCACCTGCTGAGGGGCCTGCCTTGTGGGGAGGGGGGAGTGCTGAGCGTTGAGCATGTGGAAGTAGTGGGTAAAATGCAAAGGCCGCCCCAGGATTAGCTGTGTTGTTAGTTGATAGAGTCCTCTGGATATAGGGTCCTGGCCTGCAGAGTCACCCAGGGACTCTGATTTTAGATTGAGTCAGGTGTGTGCATGTTGAAATTAAGTGTAAGAACAACTTTATGTGTAACAGACAAAAACTGGGAGGAATCCGAATGCCCATAAATAGGAAAATGAATATGTAAATTGTGGTACATGCATACAATATAACATATGAGGCAACAAAAAATTACAAACCAACATTGCATGCAACAAAGTGGCTGACTCTCAAGACATCATATCAAAATGAAAGAAATCAGACCAAAGAAAGATGTTGGATGGTTCCATTTATATAAAATTCAGAAACAAGCAAACTCGTGTATGAAAGTTCAGAGAGTCATTATTTGTAACAGCCAAAAAGCAAAGCAAACCAAATGCCCGTCAACTGATAAGCAGATAAACAAAACGTGGCCTGTCCATCCCATGGAATATCATTCATAAGGGGGTGAGGCGCTCATGCATGCCGCATGTGGGGAAACTTCCAACCCGGCAGGCTAGTGAAAGAAGGCGGATACAGAGGCCACATGTTAGGTGATTCCATTTATACAAAATGTCCAGAACAAACAAGTCTATAAAGAAAGTAGATTAATGATTGCCTAGGACTGCGGG